AACTGAAGTACTCAGAGAAAACCTACCCCAGCGCCACTTTGTCCACCACAAATCCCACTTGACCAGACCCGGGTTTGAACCTGGGCCGCCAGCGACTAACCGCTTGAGCTATGACTCGGCCTGCCCCTGTGCTTAAATAATTAAGCACTACGCTATGAAGGCGTATGGAGGAGTGGATGTACAGATCCAGATTTTCTCGACCTCGGCACTAGCTGGAGGTGAGTGGTCAACTTCACGCCCCAGCCGTTTTACCCCCGGGGCAAGAGCTTCCGTTAGCCATTGGATAGGAGTTTGGGTGGAACCCAGATCCGGTCTGGACATGGAGAAATGAAAATTCTTGCCCCCACCAGCACTCGAACTCCGACCAGAAATACACAAAGAAATTTTGATGGACAAATTTCTTGAAAACTGGGGTGTAGAAAAGTAGAATAGAAGGTAATTGTAGGAAATCAGGTGGGAAAAGTGTTTGTGAAAGTGATAAACGGAACTTCATCAAGATCGGATTTTGGTGTTAGCGATATTGAAAGTGCGGGCTATATTGTGACCAGAGGTCAGTTAGCTGCTTCAGAGTTCTCTGCAAGAGGAGAACACAATCACCGGCTGTGACATTTAGACGCACAAAAAAATATCGTGTCCTTTACTGCAGGAATTGTGCAACATCGCATAAACTCAGATAAATATAGAACATCTCAGTAAGTAAAAAGGTAAAGCTCTCCTTGCATTTAATCAATTTAGCTCCACACAATGAAGCCGCATGGACGAGTGAAGGTATAGCTCCAGCATTCTTGACCTCGGCGATAGATGGAAGTGAGTGGTTAGCTTCACGCCCTGGCCGCTTCACCCCTAGAGGAAGAGCCTCCGGTAGCCATTGTATAGAAGTCTTTATGGGCCCCAAATCTGGTTTGGATGCTGTGGAGCAGAGAAAAAATATCTTGCCACTGCTGGGAATCGAACCCTAGTTCCCCGGCCATTCAGCCTGTACTCAGTCTCTATAATGACTGGGCTATCACGGATTACGCCCCATTATTCATATTTCTCTGTCGGATCTGACCCACGAAACACAATATTTTTTAATAATTTATAGACATGCTTAATAACAAACACTATGAATTCTAATTCCTAGGTTTTCTTGGCTGGAGCTTAATATAGAGTTTAAATTTTGTACTAAATCACGTCGAATTTTGAGGGGTTTCCAAAGTTTCGACATACCTTACAATTGCTACCTCAGGGTCTTGGTGGTTGACAACGCTTGCACGGCTCTCGCATTAGACCTTGTGTCGAAGATGAAGTAACTGTTAGAAGAAGAGTGCGATGGACATTTCCTATTGGTTAACATTTCTCTCCTTTCATCAACCAATCGCAGTGTCTCCTCCAATACACCGCATAATGCGGGAACTGCCACATATAAAAGATACCTACTTACTCACGGAGTTGAGCCCTTCTTGAGGAGCCGCCAATTCTGCAGCTACTCAACAATTTCCCAGCATTTTATGGAACCTGAAGGTTCATTACCGTGTCCACAAGAGCCCTCCATTGGTCCCTATCCTGGGCCAGATCAATCCAATCCATACTATCCCATCCTATCTCTCTAAGATCCATCCCAATATTATTCACCCACCTACTCCTTGGTTTTCCCAGTGGTCTCTTTCCTTCTGGTTTTCCCAATATCCTATATGCATTACTCTTCTCCCCCATTCGTGCTACATGCCCTGCCCACCTCATCCTCCTTGACTTGATCATTCTAATTATACTTGGAGAAGAGTACAAGTTATGAAGCTCCTCATTATGCAGTAAGAGATACCTAACCATACTCAAAGTCATTAATCCTGAAGATAGTAACTACAAGGCTTGCCGAAACGTTGGAAAGCTCTCGTCGTCGCGAAACACGATGGAACAGCGGGGAGAGGACACAAGTTGCGCTCTAGGTGAACTCTATGTCAGATGATGACAGCAGAATGGCTTCGTGATGCAGTGCCCTCCTAGCGCATATGTGTGATTTGAAACCCGCAAGAACTTGTTCGGTCAGTCTGTGGGACGGAGGTTTACATATCTTTATCAGAGGTCAAACTTTCCTTACAAAACACGACATATAACAACATTATCAAGTAAAATACACGAATAGTTTATTCTGACGTCATTCTGTGAGATTAATGTCGTAATGAAATGGAAAAGGTAAAGTTGTCCCCGTGCCGGTCACGGTAGCCCAGCGGTCTAAGGCATGTACTGTTTCCGCTCGCTTGGAAACCGGGATCGTGGGTTCGAATCCCCCTCAGGGCATGGATGTTTAGTTTGTGTGTGTTCGTCTTTCTGTGTTTGTGTATAGGTAGAGGCCTTGCGACGAGCTGATCACCCGCCCAAGGAGTCCTACCGAATGTGTGAGATCTAGAAAAATCGAAGTGAACGGAGAAATTCATGGAGGTAGGCCTAGGCCCTCGGGGGCTGTAGTGCCAAGAAAAAAAATAGTCCCCGTGCCTAATAAATTAAGCACTGGGACATGAAGACGTATGAGGGAGTATGTACACAATACAATTGATTATTATATAATAGAAAATATATCATAACGTTTAAGGACGAAGTATGTAAAATGGGAGACACGTAATTAGAGCGCACAGAAGAAAAAAGTATTCTTATAGCTGAGTGGTAACTATTTTTACCAACAATTTTAACTTTAATCAGTTTGATATTTCACCCTCAGAATGTACATATATATTCCACATAGTTCTCAATATAAACTGTGATTAAATGTGGATTTTCGTAAACTGGATATATTTAAGTAATGATAAAGTCAAGGAGAATGCGATGGGTAGGGCATGTAGCACGAACATGGAAGAAGAGGAATGCTAACAAGATATTGGTGGGAAAGCCAGAATGAAAGAGACCACTGGGAAGAGTAAGACGTAGGCGGGTGGAAAATGTTAAAATGGATCTTAGATGGATAGAATGGTATGGATTGGTTTGATTTAGCTCAGGATAGGTACCAGTGAAGGGCTCTTCTGAACACGGTAATGAATCTTCGGGTTCCTTAAAACGCTGGAATTTTTTTTAGTAGCTGCACAATCGGCGGATTCTCAGGGAGGGCTCAGCTCCGTGATTGAGGGATGTACTTATGTTACCAGATGTAACGATGAAATGGTTCCCACTCGTATGGTCCCATTAGATATAGCCTCGCTTCCTGGACAACACAAGTAGCTCAGTAGTGCAGTACCTAGCTCTCTGTAACGGATACAACTGAGCACTAACCTTTTATCTCTTCTCTGATGAAGCAAATATTCGGTTTCCCTGTTTGAAACGAAATTCAATACGATGAACAGTTTACAAGATAACGCATGTTCGTTGCTTATTTTTGTACACCTTCGTTAGAAAGGTCTAGCCTTCGCATACACGTTATTTACATAATTAAGTGCTGCAGTCAGTCAGACTGTGTCCATATGGATATGCGATAAGTATTCACGAAGATTCAATTCGATGCAATCAGGTCATTGGCAGAAGGGTTACAATTTATGCATATGTTAGTACGGTCTTAACTAAATTTGGTGGCCTGTAGTCCGCAAGCGAACTATACCGACCGGACGACCGCCGCTTGTCAGCGAAGTTAGTGTCAACTTTTGCGGATAGAGGGTGTCACGTGGTCAGCGTAACGGATCCCCACGGCAATTAATCTCGGTTTTCTAGTACGATCTAATGAAAGGTTAAACGTTAACAGGTAAAAAAATATGTAATTGAAAGGCGATGAAATGAAATGATACCTATTATTTACTTTGTTGCACATTTCTCCGTGATTACTAAAACGAATGCCAAGACGTATGTGAGCGCGCAACAATCACCTTCCCCAGTCTAACAAGTCGACTACGTCATATCCTGGCCCGTAATTTGTATCCGAGGGTCTTACTGCAGCCACCACGAAGAGTTCTGTCTGGTTCGTTATAAGGACGTGTAGTTCATAGGCTGAATATCTTCGAACTACACGGCGTTACAACTCTGAAATAAAAATCTTCNCCCTCGGTATCTGATATTTCCCCCATCTACCAGAGGCATTGGAAACTACTTGGGCGGGAAACTTGTTGCCTGCTTTTGCTCAGAGGTCTCCTAGAGACATGAGGATTTTTACGTGCCGTAAATCTACGACACGGGACCCACGGCTTAAAGTCCCTCCCTGAGGACTTGTTCCCTGAATTTTTCCGCCCTTAAAAATTCCACGACCTCCGCCGCATTTGAACCCGCGTACCTTGAGTCATGAGGTGGGAACGTTACCCCTAGACTACGGAGGCCGCTTATGTTAGTACGTAATAAACGGAGCAATCTGTTTCAAGTTGTAAGGCTTATGACATGAATTCGGGAAGTGTCCGGTTCAATTCTCGGTAGAGACACCGATTATTCCGATTAAGGATGTTCTGATCTGAAAGAACACAGCCGCCTCCATCTTCAGGGCCGAAACGTAGATCTACCAAGAATTCAGCATGAAGCATACGGGAATATACAGGCCAGAAGGGAAATTGCAAGCCGTCTACACTAACAATCTGGTTGACTGTTATATCTCAGAAGGTAGAACTCTTCAGAGCCATCGCTGGGAGAACCTCAACCCCTACATCCTCACTGAGAGTTTTTAGTGGTTTTCCTTAGACCTTTCATATAAATTCCGCGATATAACTTCAATTACGTCATTACCGTTTCCTTCCACATCCTTTCCCACTCATGTTTCATTATTCCTCACACCACTGGGGCCCACCTAGCCTCATATCAAATATGTACCGGGGATAAAGCGGTAGGAGCGTGAAGCTGAGTACTCACCTCCATCTACTGCTGAGGTCAAGAATAGTGGAGCTGTACCTCAACTCTCCATATGTCATCATGGCATAGTGTTTAGCTACTCATACATAGGGACAACTTTACCGTCACCACTCGAAGCTATAGCCCCCCCACCCAATAGGGACTTCACAAATACAGACGTGACCCAGGTACACCCGGGACAAGGGCTTGATATTTGATACTGTGTCACTCACCTAACCCGATTGAGATGTATTTCTCCTGTCTTATGCAGCAGGCATTTTCAATGTTCTGTCCGATGTCCTCTACTTCGGATGCGGTTGTTGTGGGTTCTGATGGCGAGTCGTCCGCGGTCTGCGTGCCATGGCGGTGGCGCCCCCTGTGTTCGAAGTTCCTGTGATGCTCTAGGCCGTTCAGGGACAGACCCGCTGCTGTAGAGACAGACGAAGTGGCAGTCAGCCAGAAGTTTTATATAGAAACTAGTAAGTCAAAAAGAAGTCCTAGGCAGAAATTATGTCTGGTCTTGCGATGCTTAAATCTTTACAGATCATTTGTACTTTCATTTAAGATTTTTCATATATACGTAGAGAACAACTATTTTTTATTGCTAGTGGGGTGGGACTAAGTCCCTTGTACTGCAGCCACTTCTGACCTATTGTTACCAGCCCCAGATGATAGGTGAGGGTGATTGTGGAGCAATTGGTGGAGTGAAGATTGACAGGGGAAACCTGCCCCAGCACTACTTTGTCCACCACAAATCCCACTTGACCAGACCCGAGATCGAACGCGGGCCGCCGCCGTGGGAAGCCAGCGACTAACCGCTTGAGTTATGGCGCGGCCCTGGAGAACAACTTGCGTGCTATCCATCAGGTATTTTCTCAAGGAGACGCGGTCAAAATATTTCAGTAAAAAGTAAGTTTAAGCAGTTTAAGGGTAATTTTACCGACAAGGGTAGAGTATTCGGGTTATTAAATGAAATATTCATTAAAATGTTTATAATTTTGGTATTAATATTTGGTGGGGCACGCAGTAGAGTAGTTGGTTGAGGAAATATTCTACAAACCAGGTGGTTGAAGGTCGCGGATTCGATTCCCGATGAAGTAATTAGGTTTTTCGATTTACCTAATCCTCCTAAGCTCACTATGACCCAGGGGTCGTCCTAGGGGTAAATGGCGGCCGGCACGTACGACTGGCAACCTCACCGCCATCTGTGACCGGATTGTCTATAAAATGTGGTGGTGTGTCGATGATTCATAAATTTATGGGTCTCCACGGCCTGTTAGAGCGATAGCTTCACGTTTCTTAAATTAATATTTGGCAAGTTTCTTGCATTTGAAGTCGTATTTTCTTATCAAAATATTCAAGGCAAGAAATATTCCAAAAACAAAAAAAAAGTCAAATAATCGTACCAAAATAAATTTTGGTGTTAATATTTGGTACATTTCTTGAGACTGGATTTTGATTTTATTTAAAAATATATAAGGGAAGGGGATGTATCTGGCTTGCTACCCCCACCTCACTACCAGAGTCAATGAAGATTTAAATGCACATCTTCTACCGGTAACAATGATAGTTGACTGATTGCTACAAATTTCGTTGCCATGTTTACAGTTTTTAAATATATATTGTCCTTGCTTTTAGACTTGGTCTTTCTAAACAGAATGCACCGTGAATTTGGCCGATTCACTGACTTAAGGACTGTAAGAAATGTATGGTTTAGTCAGAGGCTTTGGTTCAGTGCGAAGGCAACCACTGTCCCGCTACTTCTTGCCATACTTCTTCTCAAGCTCCAACTGGAACTTAGATCTAAAGACAAACATTCAGTCTGCAGATATTAATTTTTTTAGATGTTTTTTTATTGCTAGTGGAGTAGGACTAAGTTCCTTGTACTGCGGCCACTTCTGACCTATTGTACCAGCACCAAATGATAGGTGAGGGTGATTGTGGAGCAATTGATGGAATGAAGATTGGCAGGGAAACCGAAATACTCGGAGAAAACCTACCCCAGCGCTACTTTGTCCACCACAAATCCCGCTTGACCAGACCCGAGATCGAACCCGGGCCGCCGCGATGGAAACCAGCGACTAACAACTTGAGCTGTGACGCAGTCCATTGTTTATATAAGTCATGTTACTTAGAAATATGAGTTTTTTCGACGATGAAGCTCCAGCCAAGACCTCAGCTTTCTGCTTTTATTTTATACACTTTGTTTAGGGAGCGCAAAATGCCCTGAATGCCTCAAAGACGCAGTTTAACCCTCTAAAGCACAGTGCTTACATAGGACGTAACTGAAAGGTGCGGACAAATTTTGGACAGAAATTCTACATACCAAAAGGAAAAATGTCCATGTTAACATATATCCGAGAACATTTCACCTCTGAGTTACAGCTGAAGAGAATATTTCTAATGAGTCCTAGAAATGTCCTCTATGAGAATTAATGCAGGTATCGACAGGTCTCATCATGGACCTCAGCTGGGGTGGCTGTGAATTGTCTGACACGCATCCACAATGCGATGGTGAGGTGCCTGTTTGTTGTCAACAGGAGCTGCATACACAAGGGTGTTTAGGTGCCCCCACAGGTAATAATCCAGATATTTATGTTTGTCGTGGAGCGTGGAGGTCATGCAGTGGGTCTTCCTGTACCTCTCCATCGGTCATGATATGTGTTACTGAGAACATCTCGCACAGCACGGAGCACCATGCATGTACCGCATTCGTGTTCTGACTGCCAGTAGCTCTGGCAGAGAATGCGAGAGGAATTCCCGGTAGCGGTTGCCTGTAAGCCGATGTGACAAAAACATGCGGGCCTACTAATCACCAACAGTGCCTGCCTACAAATAAATGCTGAACCGCTGCTAGTGTCTACGCAGTATTCCTTCAACTGTAACTCACAAATAAATTTTTCCGGACATATGTTGGTAACTGAGCGGTCTGAAGCATGACCTGTCTTCACCCGCTCGAACGCTTGGGTCGTGGGTTCGAATCCCATTCGAGGTGTGGGTGTCTGCGTCAGTTTTTTTCTGTGTTTGTGCTGTCCTGTATGTAGGTATAGGCCTTGCGATAGACTGAGCCCCCGTCCAAAATGTCCTACCGTCTTTGTAAAAAGGTTAAGAAACTGAAAAAGCGGCCAGGCTCCAGAAAATGAACATAAAAAAGAAAGGAAAATATGGAACTCGTGCCCAAAGTTTGTCCGCACCTTCACTTACATTTTGTATATGTACCACCTATTTTAAAGCACTAAATCTCTGTGTTATGCTCACGGACTGTTGTCTTTCGCATATTCCCTAAACAACATTAGAAAGCTGATCTTCATAGCGGAGACGTAAAGCGTTTCCTGTGAGTTACAAATTGAATTTATAAGAATATTATTTAGCAGAAATGAATAATATACACATTGTAGCTCAACATTCACACTAGATCATTATTTAGAAAGCGCTGCTGTGTGTAGTGGTTTACTACGCACTAGAATGATGGAATTATTGACAATTGTATCAATTAACGCGACGTTCTGATGAAATGGTCTCTCTGAAGCGGGACAACTATGTTCGGAGTTACTGGGTTTCTGGACACTGCCCATCGTCCTTTATTCAGAAAACTAGAGAACACAGTTTTTCGGATACTGGATCTGTTTTCGTCCTCAGGTGAGTGGGGAAACACCTACTCTGTTGGGACCCTTAAAAAGAATTAACCTGAATCACTGGACCAATGATCAATTTTCCGAAACGTTATGTTCTCTAGTTTTCAGAATACTGGACGATTTACAAAATCCAAAACCCCAGTAATTCGGAATCTTACACACCATAGTCAGAGCCCTTCAGAATATGCTAGGACAACTGTACCTAAGAGAAGACAAGTGACGGTGTTAACCCCTCCGTAACCATTCAATCCTGTCCTGAAGGTCCGTGAAGCAAGAAACACAAGACCTGCTTCTCCCGCTATTCTGCCTTACAGAATGGAGTGACCGCAGCGCTCCTACGTTGTAAAGCTGATTTTCACATCTAAAACTCTTATATTAATGTCTTTTTTTTTTTAGAATTTCTTTGGTTATTTATTGTTGATTTTGAGTCCGCTTTTGGGTCCTTGAACCGTAAAAATTTGGCCAATGTTGCCGACGTTTCGACGGCGTAACTACCTTCTTCTTCAGTTTAGAAGTGATTATGGTGGGTGAGTGTTCGTGTATATCTACAAACGATTCTTAAGATAATGACACCGCATTGCGCGTTAGAAGAACTCGGTGTAAACTTCTACATATATACAAATATTAACATGAAAATATCATGTATTATATTTTTTAATGTGTTTTGGATGGGTTAGTATTTACGCTGAATACTCCTACAGCACGAGCAGCTGACATTTTCTTGAAAACTGCGTATGACAATGAAAGGTGCCTCCGAAATACATGAGCTGTTTGTGATAACGAAATTTCTTAAACCAGATTATATCTGACTGGCGAAATTATTTAATTGAAATGCCCATCTTGAACCTAATGTTATTGAGAAATGGTTATAAAAAAAAAGTAATTTCCTTCGCAATGTGACACCGTGTAGTGTGGCTCATAATTTCGCCAGAGGAACGAACTGCCTCCGTTTTCAAAGCCGAACAATGAATTTTGCGAACAAATATGCTTATTTGCATGCTAAAATTAAAATTTAACCCTGGAGATGGAGATAGTAGATTCCTCCGAAATTTCTGTAAAATTTAACAGACTACACGACATTATATCCCACAAGATGACGCTGTTTATAATCGGCTTCATGAGATCCTCGGATTTCACAAATGTGAATTTATCTCGATTTTATTTAAGTAGAACTTTGTAATTAAATTGTGAGTATAGACAAAGTATCAAAGGCAAAATTTTGGCTTAATGTAAAGCTTTCTTTGGAAAAATGCATTTTTGATTTGTTTTAAATATGGAAGAATGTTGAACACGTCGTTAATATTAGGCCGGAAGAGTGACAGATCTGCAACTGTTAATATAAGGTCAAATGTAGTTCAGCCATTGGTCAGGAAATTGTCATGCTGTGCACAGATTGGTCGCCAAACCAACGCGCCATAATGGGCTGGCTCTCTTACGGCATGTTCCAGTTTACACTCTGATTCTTGCCCTTAAAATTGGGGGTAATACAAGATTTTCAAACTGAGACTGAAGAATCTGCATATTCAAATTTACGAGAATCATATATTTCTTTCAAAAGCAGTGCGAAATTATTTCGATATTTTGCGTAGTATATAATTTTTGCAACGTATATAATTCTGCGAATTGAAATACACAGTCAAGAAGATGGATATTAACTTTTACACACAATATTAATAATACAGTTCCTTCAAAATGTAACTATTTTATTCTTTCCCTTTTACAACATGTTTCGACCCCAACCTACCATCGTCAGGTATCTTGATTTGCCAATGTAACAGGATGCTTAAATACAATATTGCAAGATAGATATTAATTTATGACGAGCAGCAAAATATTCCCACTTCATCCACCAATTAGCCGGTCACGATAGCAGAGCGGTCTAAAGCACATACTCACTTCGCTCGCTCGGAAGCCGGGATCGTGAGCTCGAATCCCACACAAAACATGGATGTTTGGTTTGTATATGCATTTGTTCTGTGTTTGTGTTGTCCTGTGTTAGGTAGAGTCCTTGCGACGAGCTGATCGCCCGCCCAAGGTGTCCTACCGTCTGTAAAATGGTCATGAAACTGAGAAATCAGCCCTACGCTCCGCAGTGGGAGCAAGAGGAGAAAAAATCTACCAATTTTATTTTCCAAAGGAAGTTACTGGAAAAGTAGCACATTCTAATAAACTTAATTGTAATACATATTAATCTATATTTTATTAAACCGCAAAGGTGACGCTATGTTCTGGTATGAAAAGAAAGCCCATTAGCACCTTTAAAATTATATATATATATATAAAATTATAGTTCTTGGCAACAGCTTACATTAAAAGTTTTAAGGGGCGGCGCCATGGCTCAAGCGGTTAGTCGCTGGCTTCCACAGCGGCGGCCAGGGTTCGATCCTGGGTCGGGTCAAGTGGGATCTGTGGTGGACAAAGTGGCGCTGGGGCAGGTTTTCTCCGAGTACTTCGGTTTCCCCTGCCAATCTTCATTCCACCAACTGCTCCACAATCATTCTCACCTATCATCTGGGGCTGGTACAATAGGCCAGAAGTGGCTGCAGTACAAGGGACTTAGTCCCACCCCACTAGCAATAAAAAAAGCGTTTTAATGGTCATATAATTTCGTGTTTCTATTGATTCTACATTTCATGCCAATAGAAGCAACGTATCACATCCCTCGATGAAGCGAATTTTATTTAAAAATAATCAGTCAAATTTTACTCAATACATTTAATTGCGAATAATGCATATATATTTTTTTTTCTTAACTTGGGAAAATTTAAATTAATAAGTGATATGTGATGTTCTTACGACGGTGAACAAAGAAATTAATGTGTTTTTGAGTGAGACGTCTTGTGATTTGTTACCGAACTTTACGGCACCACATCCAAAATGGCCATCATCTTCAATTATTAATGTTATTTCGTATATAAGTAAATAAATGCAGTAAAATTCACAGCAATAAGAACTTTTAGACAGAAATTATTGTGTGATATATTTGTATATTTCAGGTCTGAACACTATGGAAGACAAAAAATAATATCAATTTTTAAAATACAGTAAATTTAGCTGCTCTTCAAAATTTTAAGCGAATATCAATGCAGATATATGATTATCGTAACAAATGAATAAAACGAGAGACAAAACTTGGGGAAATTGGCATAAGGCTCTTCCTTATACTAAGAATTTACATATTTCCACATCCTGTATGGGAATCCCAGACTTTAAAACTATCACTATGATGATGTAATAACTTGTTTGTCAGAAGTTATTGTCTACAACGGTCAATAATTTAACTTTTAAAAACGTATAAAAATACATTCGTATAATTCTTTAATATAAATAAGATATTTCTTACCTAGACAGGCATTTCCAAGGTGGTTGACTAGAAGACACGTTACAATGATCAACCATACCCTTGCTGTAAACATGGCGGGTTCCAGCGTTGTTGTCCTAAGGAAGATAATGGCGGGCGGTCCTTCCTGGAGGCTTCGAAGTTGATCTGCTGTAGATCACGGTGTATCAACAACTGTGGTCCGTACAGGGACTCAATCCTCCTTTAATTACTGGCGATGTTCTGCACACACACATACACACAGACACACAGGCACGCTTCTCACATCGACTTCTTCAACTTCGTGGATATTCCTCCAGGGGATGTGTAAGGAATATACAGAGGTAGTAGGGTTAAAGTGTAGGAAGGGAGAAACTGCGAGAGAAATAATAAAATAAAAAAAACTGAAAGCAAAGGGAGGGGTAAAATTTCCAAGAAGAAAACAAATAAACATCGTTTGTGGATCGACTTTTACAGTCAGAAGTGGGGTGGTGGGGGGAATAGATTTTATATCAGAAGTCTGGTTGACATATGACCAATGTGAGGTGCCTAATACGCAGTGGTTGAGTTCTGTGTCTAAATTATGGTGCAAGTGTCTGTAGAAAACAAGAGATCGCCTCTGTTAATCAATCTTGTTCGGTCTGTCATGGTCGAACCAGACATCTGGAAGTGGTAGCAGAATTCTGATGCAAGATGCGGACGTGAGATTGCGACAGAATTGAATTGACCGCATCTTTTTATGCATGATTTAATTCTATCCTTACAAAAAGCAGTCGCATTTGATCCAACTGGGTCCCACAGCACTTGCCATTCACCACTCGAAACAATTTCTTCAATCAATTTAGCTTCTCGCTCACTCTTACACTATCAGACTCCTCATTTCAGGAAATTTCTACCTTCCAAGCCAGTAATGACCCTTATATACAGTTCTTAGGTTTATAATCATGCAAATTAATGCGTTAAATCAGGGGTTCTAACATAGTGAACGTGGGCAGGATGCGGCCCACGACAGTATATTTGCGTTCCAAAACATATGTACAACAATGCTTTCCTCCGCTTTAAAAAATATGGCGAATCACTCACTTACTCGTGAAGCTGAACCCTTCTTGAGAAGCCGCCAATTGTGCAGGTACTCAAGAACTTCCCAGGATGTTATGGTCCCTGTCCTTAGCCAGATCAATCAAATTTATGCCATCCCAACCTATCTCTCTAACATCTATATTAATATTGTGCACCCACCTACGTCTTGGTCTTCCCAGTGGTATCCTTTCTCCTCTCCCCCATTCGTGCTACATGTCCTGCCCATCTCATCCTCCTTGACTTGGTCATTCTAATTATACTTGGAGTAGAGCACAAGTTATGAAGCAATTAGTGGAAGGAAGATTGGCAGGGGAAACCGAAGTACTCGGAGAAAACCTCCCCCAGCGCCACTTTGTCCACCACAAATCCTACTTGACCAGACCCGGGATCGAACCCGGGCCTTCGCGGCGGGAAGACAGCAACTAACCGCTTGAACTATGGCGCGGCCTAATGATATATACTTGCAAATATTCCGTGTCATTTTTCAATTGATTTCACACGACACCTGATAAAGACATAAAAGTTTTTCCCCTGGCTTAATTAATTAAAAACCACACGAAGGCGTAAGGAGGAGTGGAGTTGTGACCTCAGCATTATATGAAGGTGAGTGGTCAGCTTCACGACCCGACCAGTTTGCCCCCGGAGGAAGATCGTCCAGTGCCCACTGGATAGAAGATAGGGTGGACGGCAGGGGGGTGGTGGTCGAAGCTGTGAAGCAGAAAAAAGATCTCTTGCTCCTGTCGGGAATTGAACTCCGGTTATCCAGCCCATGGCAAGTCGCTATATCGACTGAGCCACCCCGGTTCGACTTGATATACCTGTGAGGCTTAGAAAAGTGTGGAATTAGTATGAATTCACTGCCGTAAATAACAACAGCGCAATATATCATAACTTTTGGGGCCCATTTCTAAGCACCTTTGAGATAGGGTATATAAATCAAGCTTACCATAAACCATCTGCGAGAGTTAACAAATATTAAATTATCCCTAAAAATGGAAGTAGTATATTGTTCTGAAATGTTAATAATGTGTTATCAGAACATACAGCGCCACAGCCTATGCATCTTCAATGCACTGAAGCCGTTAAACCTTGCACACGGTAAGTTGATTATGAATGATGGATCTGATTGGGTGTGAGTGGAAATGATGGTATTAAGAAAAATGCGTGCATAGAAAGCTACTAGCAATATTTTAATATATACGGGACAGAGGCTGGTTTCTTAATAATTACATATTAGCCACTTTAGAATTTCTGGAGCATTCCGTCCATTTTAATTAGTTCAAAAAACCTTAAAACTTACCAAGCAATTATATCTGAAATGAAGCGTGTTTTTCGTTATTCTCTGAAAAATTAAAAAAAAAATAAAACATATTTATTCCAATAAATATTTAGCACGTTAAATTCAAGATGAGCGAAAAGAAGACGTATGTAATGTTCGTTACTGTCTCAGGATTTAAACCGAAATTTGAAATTTCTAGGCAAATTTTATTAAAACTTGTCAAACCAAATGTTGTAATTTTTTTTTTTTTGCTCGGCGTATCTCGTGTTATTACATGTGGACAAACGGACAGGCATAACGAAGCTAATACTTACATCTTTGCAACTCTTTCTTGTACAATAAAGGGATGAGGTGCTTCCTCAACAAGATTATATTTCTTTCGGACAGGTTTATACTCCACATAACCTCACACAACAGCCCATTACAGAACATTGTGAAACAATGTTAAGTAAAGCAGCAAGTGTTTCAGGCAGGGTGTCCAAACAGTTCTCGGAAACGAAATATTCTAGCCAAAAAAAAAAAATCCCACTATCAACCGAGAACATAAACGTGTGCTTGATATGTTCTTTCTTGCTTTTTATTTCTAACCTGAAAATAGAGACAGTTTATTCCTCCAAAACTTCTGTGAAGCTCTATCAGACTACACGGCGTCACTCACCAGAAGATAGCACCCTTCAAAGCCACCACTATGAAAACCTCAGATTCCAATAAATAAATAAAAGATTCCACTGTGGACTTCTATATTATAGACATAACTGATTATATATGTTTACACTTCGTTAGTGTTTGTCACTAATGAATAGTGTTATGCACTACAGAAGTCACTTTGGAACTGAATTCAAAGAAGCCATCCAGCTGAATAAGTGGGTGAATTCTTTCCTTGGGAGGAGGCACTATGCTACAAGCTGGAAGATCGCGGGTTCGATTCCCGATGACGTCATTGAATTTTTTTAATTGAGCTAATCCTTCCAAGCGCAATGTGTCCCTAGGGTCGACTCAGCCTGTAACAGAAATGAGTACCAGGAATCTTCCTGGGGGGTAAAGGCGCGTAAGGTTGGCAATATCACCACCATCTGTGAGCCGACTGTCTAGAAAATGTGGGAGCCTCGTTGTCTCACAACACTATGCGCCTCCACGGCCTGTTAGAGAGATAGCTTTACCTTCTTTTTTTTTACCTTACGTCTTCCCTAGCTCATAAAAAACTTCCACAGATCGCCATTGTCATCATATCACCAAAGGAACTGTAACATCTCAAGGTCATTCTGACTTCCCACTTAGGTAAGATGGCGGCGTAGCCTTCGACTGATGAGTATGAACTCAAAAACAATATCGAAAACTAATCATTTTGTTATGACATCCGAAGGTTTCACGCAATGTATACTTGATAAAATCTCAGTGTATCCACCGTTTCAATTGGTTAAACATTACGGACTGTTCGACGACCATCTCTGTGCCCATCATCAGGATATTAAGGAAATTAGATAATTTATATCCCACAAAAAGTTTTTATGATGAAATTGTGTTCATGGAATTAGTATTTAATATATTTCCAAGTATACCACCCTCGTTTCCAGTTCACAGAATACCTTGAAGTATTACCATTGTCTTCTATCCAATCTCCTCATGGCGCCCAGCATATCTGCCTTAGCATCATATAGAGGAATGCTTCGACTATGAGAATGTCAGTGATCGCTTTCAGATCAATGGGACCATCCTGGAACAGTTCAAGGTCTTCTTAGAAATTACACACGAATCAGTAGGCAGTCGTACCCGTCCACAGGAAGGTCCAAGGCAATCCATTGTCTTCCCGTACTCTGAACTCGAGCGTTACTCAGCGAGAAATGGATCCAAGGTTCACGGCCTCAGACGCCGACTTCTCTCATGGCACTTCGGAGTGAAAATATGTCTGCTTAAGGATATAACTGGCGTTGAAAAAAAAAAAAAACTTCTTTCTCCTCCTGGGACATTTTCTGATTATCCTTGATCTCCTGTTTATCATCACTTTCTATCTCATCAGGGGCAGGAATGATTAAGACCGGTTCGATTCCCGGTATTGTAAGAGATCTTTCTCGTCTCCACAACATTCAGACTAGCTCTGACTCTCACCCAGTCTCATATCAAATATGTATTAGGGGTTTTTCTCCGGAGATAAAGCGACCAGAGCGTGAATCTGGCTATGCACTTCCATCTAGAGGCGAGAGGTCAAGAATGGTAAGTTAAACCTCCACTGTCCCACTTGTCTTTATGGCGTGGTACTTAACTAATTAAGCATAAGAACAACTTTACATTTGCCTCTTTTGGCATACGAGTCAGACGTTTTATCGTTTGAACAACAAATTCATGTCAAATCTTTACTGACTGTAGTTAAGGAGAGAGAACTCGGTAAACCGGCTTCATTCAGAATTCCTCAGACTCTGTGAAAACCTGAGCCACTAAAAGAATACATAAGTTTTCGAGAGCGTCCATATTTGACGTTCAATGAAGAACGTGGGCCCGCATATCAGTTCAGGATCTTACCAGGCTGTACGGCGAGAGCAGGAACCTAAATGACGTTACAATCTCTTTACCCCTACAGTATATGTCTCTGTACAGTCTTGAAAACATTAGCGAAAACTGTAGCTGGCTGCAGATAATTTTCTGGAAAGTACCTACGCCAAATATCGACTTTTTTTATTGCTAGTGGAGTGGGACTAAGTCCCTTGAACTGCGGCCACTTCTGGCCTATTTTGCAAGCCCCAGATTATAGGTGAGGGTGATTGTGGAGCAATTGGTGGAATGAAAATTGGCAAGGGAAACCGAAGTACTCGGAGAAAACCTGCTCCAGCGCCACTTTGTCCACCACAAATCCCACTTGACCAGACCCGGGATCGAACCCGGGCCGCCACGATGGGAAGACAGCGACTAACCGCTTGAGCTATGGCGCGGCCTTTCAGAGGAATATATCGCCTCTATATTCCTTCGAA